ATACTATGTCATACTAAAACTATAACAAAATTCTAACATAAACAAAGACACACAAAGTAGATACAAAGGTTTCACATGGTTACAGGATGTAACAATTTCATTTGCTAACAAGTTGAGTTGGTATGATTTTGATGGGTATGGTCTCAAAAATGTTTGCAATGACCTAGAATCAGAAGATATCAGAAGGCTGTCCAAACACTCCAAAGCAAGGCTCGCAAACTGCTGTGTGCAAAAGCAAACTGCAACCAAGCCTGTCTGGCCTTCTTCCTTCGTTGCTGCAGTTGCCGTGTCAGATCCTGCCATCGCATTTTATAAAGATACTGTTGCGACCAAAAATCATTGAAAGCCAACATCAAAACCTGGCATTGCATTTCATAGACACACTAGTTGCACCAGAATGCGCTGTGCACAACCACTCCATGTCTCTATAATTCTCTATATAATGCTATGGTGTAGGTTGTACAGAACCTGACTCAAAAGAATGCCTGAGCTGAACAGTTGACACCCCATTTTATAGAAGGCCAGCCTGCTTCCTCATGGTCATTCTTTGTCTTTTCTTCTTTGTGAACGGTGTCAGGACCTGTAAACGAAAGTGATATCCTGTTCTGTCACATTCTGCCACAACAAGGCGGTGGGAGAAGCATTGTCATACTATGTCATACTAAAACTATAACCAAATTCTAACATAAACAAAGACACACAAAGTAGATACAAAGGTTTCACATGGTTACAGGATGTAACAAATTCATTTGCTAACAAGTTGAGTTGGTATGATTTTGATGGGTATGGTCTCAAAAATGTTTGGAATGACATAGAATCAGAAGATATCAGAAGGCTGTCCAAACACTCCAAAGCAAGGCTCGCAAACTGCTGTGTGCAAAAGCAAACTGCAACCAAGCCTGTCTGGCCTTCTTCCTTCGTTGCTGAAGTTGCCGTGTCAGATCCTGCCATCGCATTTTATAAAGATACTGTTGCGACCAAAAATCATTGAAAGCCAACATCAAAACCTGGCATTGCATTTTATAGACACACTAGTTGCACCAGAATGCGCTGTGCACAACCACTCCATGTCTCTATAAAATGCTATGGTGTATATTGTATAGAACCTGACTCCAAAGAATGCCTGAACTGAACAGCTGACACCCCATTTTATAGAGGGACAAAGAGCCATGGCGCTATGTGGCTTCTCGATTCACTTGGTGTCAATCTGGCCACACATGAATTTTGCAAGAAAGATCGATCTGAGATCTGCACAATTCTGATATCAAATTTGGAATCTACATGAATCTACAATAGGTGGAGATTCTGCTCCTTATTCTGTCGCTGCTAGCATTTCAAGCAAAACTCAAATTTCTGCACTTCCGTTGCATGGGTCAAGGCGGAACAGGTCTCGAAGGTGTGAAATTTGCTGCCACTTTTTCGTGCAGTCAGAATCGTTTCAGGAAAGCCATGCCGTCCCAGCACTGGCTCCAGTGGAGCTTGCGAGTCTTCTTCCAACTCCGCTATCCTCTTCTGCAACTTCATCACAAGCTTGTCTGTTTCCCTCAGCTTGCGTAGTAACAAGCCTGTGTTTGTCATGGCACAGCTGGTGTCAGAAGTGGTAGGTTCTCCTGTCAAAGCCTTCAGGACAGAAGTCACCAACCAACGCGCACCAAGGCATGTGATCAAGCAGACAAAAATGAAGCCGAAGCAAAACACGAAATCGAAGATGGAAAATTCTTCCATGTTGGCCAGAATTGCCATGGCTTGCGAAACAAAATTACGTCTATTCAGCATAAACTCACTAGCAGCAAACCTTGAGAAAGAACGGCATTGTACAGGTGTGACGACCCGGCCAAGGAGACCTCTTTGAACTATGCCCCCCAATTGCTCCCACACATCCACGCGCCTGCTGCAGCAGTAGCAGATACCGTCGATTCTGAACCTCAAGCAAACTTCAGACAACATCAGACAACCAAAAATCTACCAGAACTCAAATCTATAAAATGAGTGTTTATGATTCTGCTTTGCTTTTGTTCTTTATCCAAAAGAGATCTCCACCACAACCCATTTTATAGAGAACTATATAATTCTGAAGCATATAGAAACACGGAAGCAATATAAACTAAGTCTGTCTATAAAATGATATTACAAATGATTTACACAATTCAAAAGACACAATAGTCCATCAAGAATCAAAGAAACACATTTTATAGTTTCTAAATGATTCTAATAGATTCTACAGTTGCTTTCTGAGCCCCATGCTTGGGATTGTCTCAGGAGGTGGAAAATCCAATCGGCCATTCGTAATTCCTGTTCGTGAGCACACTAGTGGATTACCCAAACGATCCCAAACGCATCAAAAGCTAACTAAACACATGCAACATCATGCAACCACGCCTTGTTCCAGTAGTTTTTCTCAAGTACAGGTGGTTCTTCTTTGCAAATGCTGGGCGAGATTTCGGAACACAGCTGAACTCCAGCAAACCCCAACACCTATCAACACCCCATCATCTCAAAAATTGTTCAAAAAAGATGTCGAACAAATGCAAGCACTAACCTTCATCAACATCCAGCCTTCTGCCTTCACCCCGCTTTTGAACATCTCTGGAATGCCCTCCCCTTCAGGCCAACGCCAGTGCCAGTATATGTCACACTTGTCCGGATCTGAACATCGTGATCTGGACTCGACTTGCCACATGGCTGTTCAGCGCTGAACCTCTGGATTCCAGAGTGCGTTCTTTCCCACCAAATCTGATAGAACCCGTATCAACATGTATGAACCTAAATATTGATAAATAGATATAAATAGTGTCTTTTTTTGCAAATCATTGCAGATTTGCTTCTTTTGTTCTTTTAATCCCGATGTTCCACTGTGTGGGAACATCTTGCGCGGAGCAAGAGGCTGCGAGGCAATGCCAAAAAGACGGAATGACCCTTTTAAATGTCTATAAAATGCAGACCACCTTCAATGTCTCTTCATCAACGACGTTCTTTCTCTATAAAATGGATGCCAAGTTGAATCAATATTTAACAATATTATTCAGTATAGGTGTTGCTTCTATAAAATGAGATCCAGGTTTTGCTTTCCGTGTATATTTTTGATTTGCCTTACTTTCAATTCTTTCTATAAAATGAATGCCAAGGTCAGGGAAGGTTAACCTATGAATTTCAATTTCTTTCTATAAAATGAGAACCAAGCTAAAACAATATATATCTAAATATTTGTCTCAATCTCTATGAAATGAAACACCCAGAGGTTTATCTTCCAGTTGCTTGATGTTGTTTGTAAAGTAGCTTTGCTTCTATGAAATGAGTTCCAGATAATTACAAGAAAGCTGTTACAGCATCTCAAGATCAAACCATCTTCTCTATAAAAAGATATGTCCAACCTGAACCTAAGTGCTTTTCCAATCATTTTTCCAATGGTTTTTTATAAAATGAGGGTCAAAACCTCAATTTATAGAGGAAAACCCTCCTCATTTCATAGGCGAACACCCACCGAGGATGGTAAATCCACTACTGACGAATGATTTTGCTTGAAAGTGTGCTCGTTTGCCTGTTCAGCTGTCTCATTCCACCGGTTTCAGCAGCGGTTCACACTGGCTCAATCAAGTCCGTTTAGGTGATCTTTACAAACGACTTCGATACAGTGCGATGCACGTGTTGAAAGACGCAAGTGGGTGTACCCAAGCTGAAGAAACGTAGGCGATAATATATATTATGTTTCAGGATGTTGGGGCGCTGGGAAATAGTTCTAGCTACGCTTTGCAGAGCCTGCCGGACAAGTTTTGGGTTGTGGAACGTGTGCTGTTCAGAATCTCAATGTTTTGCAGAGAGTTGCCAAAAAGAGGCGCATTGTAACGTCTTGAGGCAAATAGCACAAATCCTGGAGAGCAACCAACTTTGTAAAAGAGCTTCAGAGACACGGTTGCAGAGAAAGAGGGGCTCCTTGCCACATACTCCTTGGTTTGTTCTTGGAAGTCTTTGCTTGGGCACAAGTTTGCTTATATTTTGTGAAGGTTCTGCTGCTCTTATGCAATTCGGAAGATGGGAGAGGGCAATGAGAACGGGAAGGCTCCAGCGATTGGGTTTTGGAATGAGTGTGTTCCAGAAAAACTATTCTTGGCGCAAAGGTAGTTTGCTTGTGTATGATCCAACCTTTCATCATCTGGGTTTTTCCAAATCTTGGATCCGGATGTGGTCTTCAGGTCGTCGGAGTTTCCTTTTTTCGGAACCCGGCGGAAACCATTTGCCGGATTGAGGTCCGGCACTTTGTTTAGCCTAAAGGATGCAGGTTTAGTATATACATATATATATATATATGAAAGGTATCTGAACCTGACCTGCCCTAGGTTGACTAGACAATACCCCTATAGGTGGGACTTCTGTATCGGACAATTGATAAGTTCCGATACCTTCATGGGTGTCATCAACGCCCACCATGAAACTCAAGCCAGTTGAACAGCTCAGATCCTGAATAGAACCAAAGCTAGTTGACGACTAGAAAACCAGGGTGTCTACTCAAACTTTGGTGTTCAACTTGTAGCTGCAACTTCTGTTGGGATTTCTTGGCGGTGAGAAAATGCCAAACTAGTGATCATGCCAAAGCTACAAACCCTTAGTGAGCCATGAGCCATTCCTTTAGACATAGAAGGTTCTTTGAACTTAAAGAAGCCATATCTCATATCTCCAAGAAATATTCCATTTGGCCGATGGAATTGGCAGTCAGGGTGTTTGACAGGTGCTTAACAAAAGAACAAAAATCATGTGCTGCACCACATCCTACGCATAAACATAGATCCCAAATCTTGCTGCTGTTCGTGGATCAAGATGTGGCTGTGGGTCAAAAGTCCAAGCTAGAAACCACCCCCAAAACCCCAAATCATGGCAAAGTGAGGTTGAACCATGTTGAACCCTTTGGTCTCTGCTCAAAACCTCAAGGGAAACCTTGGGCTCTGCCACTTAGCTCAACCGTCGAACTTCTGAACTTCAAGGACAATTGGGCTCTGCCACGTTGCTCTTCAACAGGCGTTGCTCTGTCTGGTCCAGCTCCGTCATGCACCGGGTCTCCTGTCCAACAGGAGAATCCAGGATTGGCGTCCGCTGGCCGGAGGGCATGGAGCAAGGCCCGTTGGAAGACCAATCCGAATACCAAACAGCGACCAGTGCCATCCACGTGACCATGATGATATCAGGAAAGCGTAACGAACCCCAACAAAAACCGAAAGAAGCACAACCATTTGTCACACATGGAAAACACGCCGGCTTCTTCGTCCCTCGCAAGAATGGTTTTGTGCCGTTCGTGGTTCAAAGCCCGAAAAACACCCACGTGGAACCGGGCGAAGGAAGGCCATGGACCAGTAGTCTCTGGAAAGACTCGCTTCCTTCACACACCCGTAGTTTTTCAGGTTCTACCTATAGAGAAGCAAGAGCCCCCCAAAAAGGGTGATGCCCTGAAAATGCACTCTGAGGTTTGTTGAAGAAAACACATGAGGGACGGTCAAAACTCCTTATTCTTCTTCAGCTAAAAAATGGACGTCATCGGTTTTGAGGTGGACCTTATCGTTTTACAGCGTTTTGAGTTCGTCGCATACTTATGACCATATACAGCGCTGGGGTTATCGGTTTTGAGGTGGACCTTATCGTTTTGCAGGGTTTTGTAGACGAATTGCGCACTCAATTGTGACTTCCCAAAAACAATACGATTGTCTATAGAGGGGTTCTACTTCTTTTAGAGCTTAAGTGCTTTTGGAAATAACAATTTTTGACTAATAGACAATGTTTGTAGTCACGTGGAGCCAAAACTAACGCAATGTTGTCCATAAGACACGAGAAAACACGAAAACGGTCGTAGGTTCGGGGTTATTATGTTAATCTTCCAGGGCATACGTATAAATCCAATCCGTTTCCATCCGAGTGGACCGCGCTAAACAGAATCGACGTTCACAGGATGCTACACCATCAGCCAGGCTGGCGGACCCCCTGCCAAGGTCTTCAGTTTTGCAGCACATGGGCTTGATCTGAACTTGATACTTTTCCATCCTGGGAATCTCCAAGATCAACACATCCGAGGAGCCTGACCACTACATTGCCTAGATCAAGGTTTAAAAGAGAAATCCACTCATCTCGACACAACTGCTCCAAATCCCCCGTGGTCCCGGCTCTCGGTCCTTCCGTTCTAACTCTCCTTGCAGCTCCAGTTGGCTCTGCGTCAGCTTCTTCGTCCAGTGTCTGCCAGGCGGAGGAAGAAGCCGGGGCGTGCCGAGGGACTTCATCACCTCCTGATACCATCTGCCAACCTGGTTAGGTTTAGTGCGCCAGGCACACCCAACAGGTTGCGGAAACGAGGAGTTTCCGGTGACTAGAACTGGTTGCGCCAAGCAGGTGCTGAGAACTGGATCTTTGCACAAATACCAAATACCTTTTCAGGTTTCTTTGTGTGGATCGATGCACACGTGCGATCCCCAATCCATACGATCTAGCAACAAAAGGGCTCTGATAGTTGCAAATGGGTCTATAAGGAGAACCCCCAAATACCCCTTGGAGAAGGGGAGAAGTGAACCAAACCCATGGAAGCCAGGAAGATCCTACTTTTGCAATACAAACCCAGATCTCTTCTGTCGAGGATTGTTGATGTCATGTTTCGATGTTGTGGATGGCACTGTCATTTTTGGGGTCACAAAAATCCCGTCAGCCGCCAAAAAAAACAGGTATCGAACACGAGGAATTCCATCTTGTTGATGATTCTCCTTGATTTACCATGAATCTGTGTTGGTGAGTCTGCAGACTTTGCGCCCGACACACTGCGCCGGACGCATGAACAACTAGTTGCCAATGAAGAGTGCTCATCAAATCCAAAGGACTTTATTCACTTGCATGACTGGAGATGTAGTTTTCAGGTCAAATGCTCTATGTTCAACGCGCAGCGCAAACCGCGTTGCCTCAAACCCCCACTTGGCATCTGGGTGCGGGGAAGTACCAAGTTTGAAAGCATCGGAGGACCCTGCGGCCGCGTTCGCATGGGGGTTCAAGGGTGTGTGTGTGTGTGTGTGTCCAACCCTGGACAAAGGGTTTTCCACCACCACTCTTTC